TAGTTATGTACATTAAGTATTCAACATACTGATTGATATGACTAATCTTTACATATGAAGCCCTTAATAAATGTGAAGTGCTGTTCTCTTAAAGAATTATGACACCTACCTCTCTGGGTTACTACAGAAATGTAATTAAATATGACCTGATGCCAAGTTTAGTATCCTGCTTCTATCTAGGAACTCAGTACGTGTTAATTTCATTTGTATCCCTGACTACTAAACAAAACATACAGAAGGAATAATAACACTGTCTTCATGGTCCCACATCACCCCAGCAAAATAATTTCCTTTTTTTTTTGGAAGAGAGAAGCCAATAAACTCCAGTTTCAATTTATTTGGAATACTCTCTGCTTTTGACAGAATACAATAAATCCCTGCTGTGAAATAAACTTTTTAGTTATATGTATTATGGCAACTCCTTGCTACGCAGTTCTTTTTGGATAAAGAAAATAAAAATATCCCACTTCTACTCAATGCAATAAATACACCATTCCTTTAAAGAGACTTCCCAGGACAGCCAAGGTGGACTTACTGTGGGTAGCAGCAGGTGCTGGAGAGTGAAAGCCCTCAGCATTTGTAATTCTGTGTGTTACTGCCTGCCTGAAAGACTTTGCTATTTACTTCCAGCTGAGGAAAATTAGACTTAAATTTCAAGTCCACATGTCAGACACATGAAGGGGAAGAGCAGAGGAGGAGTGCCTCTGGGTAATGGAGGTAGCATGATTTTTACCTTCTGCAGTTACTCATGTGAAGTGTGAAACATTAGTGCTAATGCTCTCTGATGGTGGATAATTGCACTTGAGGAACTTGCTTTCCCTCTTCCAAGATCTCCCTGAGAGGTGAAGATCCCTACTGCTGCTTAGTAGTATCTTTGTACTCCTGATTATAAGACATTTCCTTCATATACCCTGAGGCACAAAAGCCAAAGCATTTTCACAAATTTCAACATTCTAGGATAGATGATGTTTGAACTACAATTTCCATGCAATTTAAGATTTCTCTTCTGGCTGAAAATTTGAGCATCTGTTTTCTATGGACATTGTTTCTTCCAAATCAGTAATCCCTTTGCCCATATATAACACACTTTTACTTCTAGGGAGTTAATCATTGCATTAAATATCACCCAGCCATCACCAAGTGAATGATAGATTTTACTTACCCTGTTCCTTTGTGTATAAAAATGAGTGGCTCTGGTTTGGCAATGCTAATGATAAGTAGTTTGAGGAAAGCTTGAATGATGAAAGTTTGGGTTCATGCATTATAATTTCATTAAAATATCCTTTTCTGTGGATTTATACAAAATTTTATTAATAGGAAAAAATCATTTTTGAATGGTTTCCTAGAGGTTAAACTGGCTGCTGTTCTCATTAATAATTGAGACATGGTCAAATTTTTAATTCTCATAATCAATGTTGACTCTTCCATTTATATTTTAAAATAAAAGTATGGCTTCATATCTACTGAGTATCAAGAATACAGTTAACTTTACTGAGTTTGTGTTGAAGAACTAGTAGCAGTAGTGAAAGATGATTCTTTGTGGTAAGGTTTAATAAGATACAAGCACCTACCATAGTGACTGTTTAATTCTATGGCCTCTAAATCTGTATGTTGGCAATGCATGATTTTGTCAAGGCACAAGTGCAAACTTTCTGTTTGCGCAACTGCTCAAAGAAGCAAAGAAGAAGGGTTCTATGGTGAATTTTATAAATCTACTTATCAAAATTTAAACAAGCAGAAAGCAGTACTTGTTAACCGATTAGCTTAGTTATCAACTAAATTGTACTGATGAGTTTTGCTCTAGTCTTATAACCAATACTACTAACTACTTCTACCAATATTATTAACCACTTCTATAGTTATTGTATACTGTAAAGAAAGGTGCATGGAGCAGGGTGTGTTGGCACATGGCTATAATCCCAGAAATCCAGAGGCTGAGGCAGGAGTACTGCCACAATTTCAAGGCCAGTTTGGGTTACATAATAAATTCAAGGCCAGTTTGACCTGCAAGGTGACATCTTGTCACAAAAGGCAAGTGGGCAGAGTTCCATAAACCCTGGAGTCATAGAAATGTGGAAAGTGTAATTGTGCTATCTCTAATTGTTTTCTGATTTATACAATGATGATTGAAAGATTATGAGGAATAAAGCAGAGGTTTTCTGTAGAATACATACATATTCTACAGTTTGCCATATGCTAGGTTATCACAATTACTCAGGATTCTGAATCCTTCTTGCCCGTACAGTCACAATTATTGCTACTATCTCAGGAATTTTACTCATTGATTACAAGATAATTATCAATTGAGTCACATAATCTCCTTTGTGACCGGCTTATTTAGAATTAGTTTTAAGAATGTTTTAAAATTTCTCAAGCAAGCATCCCGGATATATATGTGTATATATATAT